TTATAAATGCCATAGTTGCGAGCCAGAAGTTCATCTTGCAGATTTGCTAATCATGACTCCTCCCTTCCTGAGGCCCAGTCAAGTGTGGAACCCACAGTGCTGTCACCCGTGTCCCAGGCTGATGGAGAACACTATGAAGCAGCCCTGAGCAGGACTTAAATTAACCAATTGACTTTCCATGTTTACTGTTGAGTATGTCCAAGGCCTAGGCTCCTTGTCGGGAGATGGGTGGTGGACTCATAGTAAGTGAACCTCTGTAAGTCACTAATGCCTACTAAGGCCTATAATGGCAGATGAAGCTGGAAAACCTCAAAGAATAAGGCCAGATCACCCCCAAAGACACCTGGATCCAGTCTCAACTAGATAAAGACAATAGCCTCAAGCATTTCACTCCTGGGTAGATTAACTTAATTCTTATTAAGGATTAATTTAGCACTTTACTTGGAGAAGTCCTTCAGTAGTTCTGCCCTTCTTGAGCACTCCGATCCCATCTTCTGATAACTAAATAAATACAGGCCACCCAGAGAAGGTCTTGGTCTTAGCCCCAAGAGAGGATCTCAGATTCTGTGAGAGGGCTTTGGTCCTCCTGCAGGCATGAAATCATTCCACTCGCCTCTTTTTATATAGCCTTCGCTGTACACTTGTTTGGGAGATTGCGGACCTGATCAGTCTGCAATAACTAAGGGACATTATTAACCCAGTACTGGGCAGGCTGTGCATGCCCCCTGTCCCAGTGTGAAAGGGAAAGGCAACTCCTCACCCTCGCCTGCTTCCGAGACCACCAGTTAGGGCAGCTGTGAGCGGCTCAATAGCCTTCAAACTAATTCACCTGCATTTCAATAGGGCAAAAGGCGGCTTGCTGCAATAATACATTCTGAAATTTAATTCCATCTTCTGACATTCATGGTTGAGCATATCTTCCTTTTCCATGAAAGGTTCCACAAATCACTCAAGAGTTCCTTCTGCTGAGGAAGAGAAAACAATAAAGCACTGGGTGGGGGCCAGGCTGCATGGCAGAGTCCAGGCAGCTACAGCCGCCTCAGCTTTGCGACTGACAGGCTCAAGACTGCTCCCTGCAGCCCGAGGGACCTGCAGTTCTCTAACCATGATGCCCGCAGCAGGCTCCTGCTTCGGCACCCAGGGCAGGGGCTTCCTTAGCACACAGCTCTGGCATTCCTTCCCCATGCTCGGCCAAAACCAGCGCTTGTAGGGAGAAGGTGACACCCCATTTCCTGACATTGCTTTATTGAAAGTCCTAGACTGTAATGAAGTCCCTTCTTTTTACACATTCTTTGTGATTTGCAACATGCACTTTTTCTCTTTAAGAATATCTTAAGTGATACCACCTGCAAGCCCTCACTCTTTAGGTATTTAGGACTAAGTATATTAGACTACATAATGACTTCTAAAAATTCTACCAAGAAGACCTGTTTAGCATTTAAAGTTCAGCCTCTATCAATTCCCAAATACTTAAGTTATGGTAGGAGAGGAGCAAACCATGGGAGATCTCAGTCACACCCCACTGACATCCCAGAGACACCCCATAGCCGTCTTGGAAAACCTCGAGCTCCCTGGTCCTCCACTCACCCTTCCTGAAGAGTCATGCTTTAGAGTCCCACAGGAACATTCCTTCCGTTGGCCCCACATGAGGCTGAGCCTGCCGGGAGGGGACTGCTTCTCACTGAAGTCCAGGAGAAGACACAGCTTTCCTAATGGAAACACTGTGGGATAGTTAAGTATATTGAAGCCAAGGGAAGTCACAAATTCAAGAGAATGTTTCCTATGAGGTGCGGAGGGACTGGAGGTCAGGACACGGAGACTCTGAAGGTCCTATGATGCTGAGAGGAAGAGGAGTTAACATTTCTTTAAGAGGAATCATATCTCTTTCTGTTTCTCTCTCTCTCTCTGTCTCTCTCTCTGTCTCTCTCTCTGTCTCTCTCTCTGTCTCTCTCTCTGTCTCTCTCTCTCTCTCTCTCTCTCTCTCTCTCTCTCTCTGTCACACACACATACACACACACACAAAGTTGAAGAGCAATGATTTAGCCTTTTAAATGCTCAGGTACTGGGATTCCTCTCACGCTCTGCCCTTAGGCGATTTTGGCCCAGGACTGTACATTTTTAAGAGCCATCCCAGAGTTCAATTCCTGGTATCAAAAATAAATAAATAAATAAAAATTTTTTAAAAAGAAGGTCTGGGGATACAGCTCAGTGGCACAAGAACCTGCCTGGCAAGTGCAAGGTCCTGAGTTTGACTCCCAGTACCAAAAAAAAAAAAGAGCCATCCCAGCAAATCCACAGACCCCTTGCCCTAGAGACTGAGGATTCTTCTAGCCCTTTTGTAGAGGAGAAGCCTGTCTCTGCGTGGGTCCCTCCTCAGTCTAAGGCCTGCCACCGCTGGAACTTGGAGAAAGAAAGGAGACTATGTTTCCCTCGTTGTTCACCTGTTTTTCATCCCTGGACTTTGTGACAATATGAGCATGGTTCCGCCCTCACTGTGGCTCACACATGATGGTGTTGATTTAAGAGGAAAGCCTTCTGCCTCAGCTGGTCCACCTGGGAACTTGGTGCTACCTCCCCAAGCTGTTTTCCCACTGTCAGATTCTCTCCTCTCTTGACATGAAGACATTACAGTAAAGGTTTTGAGCATTAGGAAGTGTTTGCCAACAAAACCCTGCTGTCTAGATGCTCACAGAAATATCCAACACATACAGATAAAGCCTTGGGTAGATCCAGCCAGCTGCAATAGCCAGCAAACATCAGGTCTCCAAGATCACTTCAGAGGTTTCTGTCCCATCCTAGTTTCCCCCAACCCAGTAACTCTCCAGCTGTAGTTTTTAAAGTACACTAAACCTCTCTGAATCCCTCATTTCTAGTGGAAGAAATAGTTAGCCTATGAGACCAGCTTTTCATTATTAAAGACTGTGGTTTCCAGGTCAGTTTTAGGTGCAGAGCAAATCTGAAGCAAAGATACAGCTATGGTCCATCTACTCTGCCCCCACGGCCACCCCTCACCCACAGGCCCCATCGCATGTTCTCTTACTGGAAATGCTGACAGGGAGCAACACGTCCTTCTCACCCGAAGTCCCCGGGTGATGTGAAGGTCTTTCTCAGCACTGTCATACTGTGGACTGAGCAAGTATACAGTGGCATGGATCTGCCATTATGATAGCGTACCCTAAAATCCTGTGTCTGAGTACTCTTCCTCCTGACCCCTGGAAACCACTGATCTTTTTACCATCTCTGGATTTTCCCACAAAGCTCGGTTTCTGATGTTCAAACAATCTGCGTGTGCCTATGCTGTTGCTCGGTGCTGCAGCTGTCCCAGTGTCCTGTCACGATAAAGGCCTCCCGGGATTTCTTTTGTAACGGAGCTCCCTCAGTCCAGGCCACATAGGAAATCACACCACGCCTTACTCTAGACTTGAATTCTCTGGCGTAACTGTAATAAAAATCTCCAACTTTGGAGAATCACACGTTCTTCAATGTGCTATCTGGACTCACAGCTGTTTTCCTAGAACAATCACATGCATAGCGCAGCCTGCACAGCTACTTAGCACGATGTGGCCCAAACGTGCTCCCAGAAGAGCCTGCGTCCCCACTTCTGTGGGGGGCTTGGTCCTGAGGGGTACCCTCTCCGGCCCAGAGGGACCCTGGCTGCCTGAGGACCCTGGGCTTTCGGGCTGGACACACAGAAAGACGCCTGGTGCAGTATGCAACTGCCTGTCTCCCACATCTCCCTGGAGCTCGTGTGCTGGCTTCACGTTTATTCCCACCGCATTCAGAGCTCTTCTGGGCAGGAAGTCTCCACGTGTGTGTGTCTTTCAAGTCCAGCAAAGGCCATATTGAAAATCAAACGAGACCGTCTCTGTGTGCCACGGAAACAGCTTGATCATTTTCACTCAAAACCACTTGCACCTTGGCAGGGCTAAATGGTAAGCTCCATTAATAAATCCTGAAGGTTAGTTCCCCTTTGTGACATTCGTTCCACTTGGGAAGCATTCACTTCCTTACCACAGAGAGGCTCTGCCTGGCTGCCGCTGTGCTCTTCCCCCCTCTGCCCCAAACCAGGCGAGGAAAGAGCGCCCCCTGCCAGAGGGAACCAGGCCTGCACGGGTCTGAGCCACATAGGTTACATCCTCTGCTAACGCAGACCTGTGATCAGCAAGTCCCCTTCCCGGCACTGTGCAGAGCTGAGAAAGCAGAGCAGTAGGCGGGGCAAGGCTGGTATTGCCCCTTCTCAGGGACTTGTCTCCTGGACATTAGAGACCTGGGTACCCCAGGATCCCGTGCCCATCTTTCAGTGCAGCCCAGCAGCCAGGGTAGATGCAGCCCAAGAGGTGGCTGGCTGGCTCGACCAAGGCTAAGCGTTGGGTTTCCAAGCACAGCCTGCGGCAGGTAAGTACAGCACAAGAGAACAGGCGAGATATTGCTACACTACCTTTTTCAGCTTTGTTTTTTCCAGAAAGCAATTACAAACAGCAAGTCAGCTGTGGACCTTGAATATAAACAGTTTTTGAGATGAGGGGAGCTATAAGAATTTCTGAGACTATTAAACAAAACAAATGTAAACATGGGGATGCCGTGTCTTTGTTTTAGAACTTTTTTTAATTTGGAAATAATTACTGTAGCCAATTCTCAAATGACAGCTGACATCACCAGAATACTTTATTATGAGAAATTTTTATCAGAATTCTAATATTACTGCTTCAAATTTTATTAACATTCGCGCCTCCCTAAAAGCACCTCAGGATGCCCTCAATATTGTGAGAAAAATCTACTTTTGAAATACACGTGTAGCTCAGTCTCTCACTAATTTCACTTGTTGCATGCTTGGTAGGATTAGCTTTACTTCAAGTCTTTATTCTTGCTGCCTAGATAATTTTTATTCAACTGCTCTAAACATACTAAGCAATCTTGATTCTAACAGTAATAATATATCTTTGTCACTGGTTCTGTTAATTCTAATGATTGGTCCTAGGCTGTTCCTCCCCTTCCTTTAGGAATGGTACCTTCCAGTCTCTCCATGTGCATGAAAAGTGACAAGCATGGGTCCCCATATTTCTACTTATTGGGCCACCCTAAAGACACGGTTTGTAAAATCTGCATGAATATTATCTTTCTCTAATAAGCCTTGGTTTTGCGTATGTTTTAACTGATGTATAATGCTCTTTCATAGTAGTAGCTTGTCTAATTACTGCTAGAGTTCTGGAAAATATTTGTAGCTGAGATCTTATGAGTAATACGGATAGGATTTGTGAGTTCATGAGAGTGTGAGGTGCAGTGCATTCTGGGAGGCCAGTCCACCATGGCCAAGCCGGAAGGAAGGCATAAGGAGACAACAAGACAGTACTAACTGAGTTTTGCCCCTCACACTTCACAAAATCCTCTCCAGGCTTTTGTGCAGATATTAAATTTAGTTCCTCTCAGTCCGCAGCTCCAATTTAAAATACTCTTTTGCACCAGACAGAAAGAGAGCCACAGTCAGCAGACCTCCCCACCCACCCAGGAATTCTGCATGCTACATGGCATCATGGGTATTTCCCAGCCTGCTTTGCGGCACTTGTCCCATCAGGAGTAGATCTTCTTCCTTCCCCATATGCATGCACCAAGTTTACAGGAATGGTTTTTCCTAAAAAGAGGCAGTTTGTGACTATTTTTTGAAAGTAGTCATAACTTTATGTCTAAACGGTACCCCCCATTTCAAAATGAATATTCCCAAGTATTGACAGTATTTTAGCCTAGCATTTGGTAAACACTCTTAAAGAAAAAGTATCCTACACATAAATAAACTGTGTGGTTGCCTTACACCTGTGATTCAAGCAACCTTTTTACCCTTTAGATTTATGCCTAGAGGAGCCACCTCACCATGGTCAGGTCCTGCAGTGGCGTGTGGCTCCTGCTACAATTTAATTGGACTTGGAGCTTACAATGTCAGTTTGGCTTTACAGCAGAAACTAAAATTCATGCTCAGTCCCCATGGTTAGCCATAGAAGTATGAGTCACACTGACACACTGTTTGATTCTACCCCCTTTGCCCTGTCACAGCCAGAGCTAAGCTTCTCTTCACCAAATTCTTTTAAGCTAACCCTCTGAACTTTTTCTGAAACATATTTCCCTAGTATTCATGATCTTGGTAGTTACCATCTAGGACTGAGTTAAATTTAACATGAAAGATAATTCACTAAGTGAACTGTATAATTGACCTATTGCTAGACATTTCTTTATTACACAGTCTTACGCTGATAAAAATATCTACACACACTCTGTCACAAACCCTTCTTGAAAATGTCTGCAAAAACCTGTTTTAAGCGTATTATTGTCCTACAATATCTGTCTCTCAAGAATAGCTTACTGACCAGGGAAAGCTAAATTAGGACATAAAGGGAAAATTGCAATGTGCTAGAACACGGACAAAGGCGTGGAGTAATTATTGAGGAGGTCTAGTCCAGTGGCCATAGTGTAACGAGGCGTATTTCCCTGTTTCTGGCCAAAGAAAGGTCTGTAATATGTGGGGAAGAGGAAGTCTGAATCAACTCACTTGAGTCACTCACTTTAAAGAAGAAAAGAGAGAGGGCTCTTCGTGGCTTCTCAGGTCCACCAGTAGAGAGAGTGCCTCTGTGATCCAGGGACTTTGCTCAGTGATTGGGATCTGAAATGTAATAAATCCCTAATAAGAGGCTCTCCATGTGCGTGCAGGAGCTTGTAGGGGAGATGGGGAAATCAGGTGATGGAGCAAATACAAAGAGTAGTGGCAAAGGTGATAAAAACCCAAAGCAGGCAGTGTGCTAAATCTGCTCAGCTGCGTCCTAGAACATTCTAAGCAGTCCATGACATTTTAGCTGGGCCTTAGTGACAAGTATGATCTCGCCAGACTGAGGAGAAGGAAGGCCTTTTCCAAGCAGAGGAAACGGATACCATCAAGTCAGGGACGTGTGTTCAGAGCAGCTGTGTCACAGGCTTGCTGGGAACGGGACAGACAGCGTGGAGGGGCCTCCCCACCAGCCTCTGGGTGTGCACAGTGTCGCAAGACCCGGGTTTGATTCCCAGCACCAAGGAGAGGAAAGAGCTTTCTGTGCCAAGCAAACGAATTTAAAGTTTATATCATTACATGGCATCAGAAAATGTGAAATATCTGAATTTGAGCATATACTTGGGTAGTTTTCAAGATGGGTTTTGTTTAAAGATGTGGGCAGTTAAAATGCTGAGGCAAATGATGCGAGGGCCCGGGTTAAGTGCGTGGTAGTGGAAAGGGCAGGTGAGGGAAGGGCTGGGAGATGTGCGGACTGGGTGAGGGGCGGAGGCGGAGGAGAGGGTGGGGGGTGACAAGGTCGGTTCTGGACACCCTGAGTTGGGAAGGCCCGGGACACAGGGTGGCCGCCCGGTGGCAGCAAGCACCACCACGCATCACTGGGCAGGCGGTATGTGCGGATGGCGGGGCTTCCGGGGGCGGGGGGACAGCTCCATCCACGGGGACTGGGTCCCCGGGAGACAGCACCGTGTAGAGTCCGCGCGACAGTGTCACACCTCCATGCCAAGCGGGCGGGGCTGGCGGAGCTCGGGAGAGGCTGGTGTTGCCCACCAGGCGCATGTCCACCGCCATGGCTTGCCCACCGCCACGGTTTGCCCGTCACTGAGACAAGTTTTGCAAAAGAAAAGGTTTATTTTCAAGGCTGCAGAGTGAGTGGGGGGAGACCCAAGTCTTGAGTGCACCTTAAATGTGCAGGCGGGGCCTGGGGAATGTCGGGAATAGAGAAGGGGCGCCTCTAGGCGTGGGGGAAGGCGGCAGGGGGGCGGGGAAGTGGTCCGCACCGTGTGGGGACCTCCGTGGCCCTTCAGGGGATGCATGCTCAGAAAAGGGAGGCGCTGGCCTGCGCTGGGGGTGAGGCTTTCAGCCCCCTGACCTCAAGAGTTGGTAGTTTCAACAGCAGTGTCCTTCAGGTCCCTGAAAAGTAACCCAGGCCACCATGCCGTCACGTCCCACAGGTCAGAGGTGTCACCTGCAGTGACATAGTGCTCAGCTGTGCGACCCCGTGTGAGGCCAGTGACTTCTTTAAAGGCAACTTAGGAGCGGAACTCTGCAGGCAAGAAAAGCAGAGGTTTCTTCCCCCTCGCTCTGCCTCAGCAGTCCAGGAGGAAGGGAGAGAGAGCAGAAGTGGGACGTGGAATCCAGACAGGCGTGATGGGGGGCCTGCCTGCTTTCTAGATGGACACTGGCTGCTTCGCCCAGTCGGGCTGGGTGCGGTTGAAGAGGGCGAGCTGGACAGGGCCAGGCTCAGGACCACATTCCAGCCTGCCTGGCACAGGCCCAGCACGCCGCACCCCAGCAATGGCAGCCATTGTTGGATGAGGGTGGGAAACGTTCTCCCTGCCTCACCAGGACCCAGCCTTGACCTTCCCCCTCCCCTGCACAGCGCCTCATGCCAAGTCCCGCCCTCAGGGAACGCCACCTCGGTCCCTGGGCTCCTACTCACTCCCATCCTGGGGCCACACCCAAAGCTAAATGAGAGGCCATTTATATCCTGAAGGTTCTCTCTACATGGGGCAGGCATGAGAAAAACCCTCTCAAGTTACATCGCCTGGAAATCACGCTTGCGTCCTGAAAACACACCTGTTCCGCCTAATTTCTTTCCTCATGGTGCACTGCATTTTGAAATCGGAATTCCATCACAAGTTTATAAGAAAGTAAAGGTGTCCCCTCAAAGATCACCACTGTCAGCATGGTGACAAAATCCTTTACTGGATTCCATTCTGCAGCGCCTTTGGAACTCCCTGCAGTAGTTAATACCACCGGTCAGTGTCTTCTCCGAGGCTCCTCCAGATCTCCAACTCCCTTCCCACTTGTAACGCCCTCCCTGACCTCTCCTGCACGATCTCATCTGCCCCTGTGGCTCCTCCTGTCACCGCTGTGCTCTTCTGTTCCTCTGGTCCATGCGTCTGTTTCTGTGCCAGTACCGTGCTGGTTTTGTTACCGTGTCTCAGGAATATGTTTTCAAATCAGGTAATTCCTGTGTGATTCCTCCGGTTTGGCTCGTTTTTTCTAAGATTGCTTTAATTATTCACAGTCATTTGTGCTTTCTCGTGGATTTTAGGGTGCGTTTTGTTTTTGTTTTTTCTTCTGTGAAGAATGTCATTGGAATTTTGACGGGGATTGCATGAAATCTATAGATCGATTTGGGCAGCATGGGCATTTAAACAATATTAATTCTACCAATCCATGAACATGGAAGTCTTTCCATCTTTTAGTGCCTGCAGTTTCTCAGTTTTGTAGTTTTTGTTATACAATTCCTAGGTATTGTATTTCTTTTGTGACTGTCATGACTAGGATTGCATTCATGATTTGTTTCTTAGCAAATTCATTACTGATATATAGAAAAGTAGACTTTTATATTTTGATTTTGTGTTCTGCTGCTTCATTGAATTTATCAGTTCTGTCTTAATGATTTTTGTACATTGACTTTATGTCCTGTTACCTTACTGAATTTATCAGTGTTAGTAGTCTTTTGATGGAACATTTAGGTTTTTTTCTATGTATAGAAAGAAACAAGAGCAATTTGACTTCTTCCCTATTTGTATGCTTTGTATTTCTTTCTCTTGCCTAATTGCACTGGCTAAAACTTCTAGTACTATATTGAATAAAAGCAGTCAGTAGGCACCTTTGTCTTGTTCCTGATCTCAGAGGAAATGCTTACTTTCCCCATCCAGTGTGTGATGGACTACGAGTTTGTCACACACACCTTTTATTATGTGGAGATATGACCCTTCTACACCTATGCTATTCATAGCTTTTCTCATGAAAGAATGTTGAATTTTATCAGTGTTGAATTTTTCTACATCTGTTGAGATGATCAAGTGATTTTTATCCTTCTGAGGTTTTGTAAGCCTCCTGTACCTGGATGGCTATGTCTTTCACAAGATTATGAAAGTTTTCTGCACTTATCTCATTGAATAGGATTTCTATGCCTTATTTTTATTTCTTCCACTCCGAGAGTGCTGACAACACAGACTTTAGTCTTCTAACAGTATCCTATAGACCTAGAATGCTTTATCTTCTCTCTAAATGTGATTATTTCAAAAGACCTCTCTTCAACC